AGCCCCAGGAGGTTTTTGGAGCATCACCTTCTCTCCGTGGAGAACACCGAGCAGCAACCCCCGGCTGGGAAATCTCTCCCCACTCCCTTCATGACTGAGGAACCCTCCCCCCCAGCTGAGCCAGACCTGCCGCCCTCCGAGCTCCCCAACGCCACCGACTGCGGCGAGGAGATCCTGCTCTATGGGGACAGGGAGAAGGTGGTCATTGGAGCCGTGCTCTCCATCATCATCCTCACCACCATCGCCGGCAACGCCCTGGTCATCATCTCTGTCTGTATTGTCAAGAAGCTCCGGCAGCCCTCCAACTACCTGGTGGTGTCCCTGGCGGCCGCCGACCTCTCGGTGGCCTTTGCCGTCATGCCCTTCGTGACCATCACAGACCTGGTGGGAGGAGAGTGGCTCTTTGGGAAGGTTTTTTGCAACGTGTTCATCGCCATGGATGTGATGTGTTGCACGGCTTCCATCATGACCTTGTGCATCATCAGCGTGGACAGGTAAGGGAGGAGGAGGCACCTGCTCTGTGGTTGGGTGGGCTTGGATAGAAGGGTGTTTTTGGGGCTTGAGGGTCACTAAAATCGTGTTCACAGTTGCCTCTGCCTGTGTTGTCCAGGTTGCTGAGGGCTTTCTGAAGGAATTAGGTGCTTGAGTGCCTTTGGAAGAGCTGGGCTTGAGGCTCTTTCTCAAGGCACTTCTCTAAGTTAACTTGTTTAGTCCTCCCCCTCTAGGAAGCAGCTTCATGCTGTTCTTCCTTAGCTTGAGGAACAGAACCTAGGGGATAGACCAGTGACACACAGACCTTCTCCGTGGAAGGAGCCTGGACCATAAAATTAATCATGAAAACAAGTTAAACCCCCCCAAAACCACATGCACTTTGCAAATCTGGGGAACTCCTGGAGCCCAGAGTCCTATGGGATGTGCTGCTGCTCCCTGGACTTCTGCCCTGCCTAAGGATGTCACCAACTCCTCCCACCCCAGTTCAAGTCCACCCAAGGCAGGTTTGGCCCAGTTGAGGCATTTGTGAGGATTATCTGGCTTCACCTCCCACACCCGGGGTGGGGAGGGAAAGGCAAAGCCCCTCTGGCAAACTGGAGAGTCTCGGGCAAGTCAGCACCTCCGTGGGTCTAATTTTAGAGCCTGCGTCAGTAGGGACCTTGTCTGAGGAGCTGGTGGGCCAGCTCCAGAGCTGACGTGTGTGCTGGCTTCCCAGGGGCTGGGTTTGGGGTTACGGTGGCACTGCTCAGCCAGGTTGGAGAGAAGCACCTCGGGAAAGGGAGAGGAGGAGGCGTGTGCCTGCAGCTACACCCTGCTCACCCTCCCCAGGGGTGAAACCTGCTCACAGAGCAGCGGGGACAGAGAAAACCCTGCTGCTGAGGAGGGACTCCAACCCTTGGCGAGTGAGTCCTGCTCAAGCCCTCGCCCCTCCACCCCCCCACTGCCCCAGTGCTGCTGCTGGGGTTGCAGGGTCCCTGCCCGACCCCCGGCGAGGGGCAGCTCTGCTGCTCAGCTCCCCGGGCTCGGGGGCATCCTGGCCACAGACAAACTGGCACGTTCTGAGCTGAGCTCTGGGAGAGGGACAGACTGAATGCAGCAGGGAAAGATCGTCGCTGCTGAGGAGCTGGGGAGCAGCTGCACGCTGAGCACACTGCCTTTGCTTTCAAAAGGGTCTTTCCCTTTTTCCTTTCCCCTTTCCCCTTTTCTTTTCCTTTTTCCTTTTCCTTTTTCCTTTTTCCTTTTTCCTTTT